AACATTGAAATCATGGGATAAGGTGAGTTTCCCTGCAAAGACATTTGAATCAGAGTGAAAGGCTCACCATATTTCCAGAATATATTGAAGAATTGTTCCTGGTCACAGGCATGCATGATATATGGCAGTAAGCATGCAGTCTGCTGTATTAGCTAGGACAACTGTCATAACTGATCTGATGAGCAGACATGCCATGCAGAAAGATATATCTTAGAAAACCACTTATTTGACCTGACTATAGGCTGTTGGGCTAGATGCCTAGATTTGACCCAATGGCACCAGAACTTGGAGGGTAAATTCTGTGTATTCTTCAATGATGTTGCACTCAGCTGTGGTCAGGCAATGGGTGCTGGCCCACTTAGCAGGTACTGGATGGCCAGGTATTGCAGTGAGTACATGAGCTCAGTAGACTGATGTACATAAGTCACTGAGGAAGTACTGTTGAGCGTGAATGAAAATAGTAGGTAGCTTACGTAACATACATATGAAAGAGGCATAGCGAGGTTAGAATATGCGACACTCCCCCTCAAACTGAGTGGAGTCCTAAGAGCAGTAGCGAAGTGTTTAGCCTTGAGGCTAGGAAGGGGTTTGGTTAGAGTGTCCTGCGATAATATCGTCTGTAGGGCAGTAAAATAGAACCTTTGTCAATTGAAAAACGAATAAAATGGTACCTAATATCTATGTGCTTGGTGTGCGTGTGAAACATGCCAGAGTTTGCGAGTGCAATAGCAGACTGATTGTCATAGTAGAGGGTTGTCGGCTGCAGTGAGTGGGCAAAATACTTCTGAGATAAGGCAGCTGGAGCAAGATGGCTTCCTTTGCTGCGTGCATGGCAGCGATGTACTCAGCCTCTGTCGTGGAGAGTGTCACCAGCTCCTGCTTCTTTGAGTTCCAGGACATGGCTCCACCATCCAGCAAGAACACGTAGCCAGAGATGGCATGTCTATGGTCCTGTGAGGCACCATCAGCATCCGTGTAGCCTTCAAGGCCGAGTTTGCCTTGACCAAAGGTGAGCGCCATCTTTTTCGTACCTGCGAGGTACCGAAAGATCTTCTTGACAGGCCTCCCAGTGGGCCATGCCAGGATTGGCACCATATTGGGCGACAGTCGAGATGGCAAACACTATGTCTGGCCAGGTGCTGACAGCGAGGTGCATGAGCGAGCCAACGGCCTCAGCAATATGGGATGTGCTTCATGAGCGTTGACTTGGCAGGAGTCTTGGGTGATTGCAATTGGGTGAGTGGTGTGTTAGGATCCATTGGGATGGAGGAAGGTTTGACGTCTGAGAAGTTGTACTTAGCTAGGATGGACTCGATGTAGCTTTCGTGTGAGAAGGAAATGGTCCGTGCTACTCTGTCGCGCGTGACCTTCATGCCGAGCAAGGATGCAATGGGGCCAAGATCTGTGAGCTTGAAGCGAGCGGCGATGTCAGACTTGAACTTGGTGATGAGGTTGCTGTTGCTGCCAGTGAGAGTACAGTTGTCAACGTGAGACGCGAGAACGAGAATATCCATGCCTATGTGTTTGAAAAACACTCCCCAATCTGACTCTGCTCTTCTCATCCCTAATCCAAACAACAGCCGGCAGAGTTCTTGATACCACTTGAGGGTGCCTTGTTTCAAACCGTAGAGGGTGACGTAAAGGCGAGCAATGGGATGTTTGTACTTGTTGTCGACGTTGAGTTCAGGTGGGAGTTTCATGTAGATTACCTCATCAGCAGCATCTAATTTCCCATTTAGGAATGTGCTGTGGAAATCAAAAATGTCTATGTCCCAATCTCTCCTGGCTGCAACTGCAAGTACCGTGCGAAGGGAGGCGAGATGCGCCACCGGTGTGTAGGTGTCATAGTAGTCGAGTCCATACACCTGTGAGTACCCTTTTGCCACTAATCTCGCTTTATACTTCTCAACCTCTCCATCGGCATTCCTCTTGATCCTGAAGACCCACTTGCAGCCTACAACGTTGACGTTGTCTGGCCATTCGACAACGGTCCAGGTATGTGCTTCTTCCAGTGTGTGTAATTCCTTGTTGATCACACCTTCCCATTTAGGCCAATCGGTCTGTGCACTGGCTTCCTTGACCGTCGTGGGATTGGTCCCTTCTACTGTCGCTACTCCTGCAACCATCGCAAAGATCTCTTCGTCGTCCTCGTCCATCTCACCATACTCCCCCACAGGCTGCATCCCACGAGGTAAGTCAGTACTCCTGCCATCTGTGGTATCACGCAGGCTCTTGATGTAAGCTGACTCTATCCTTACCCTTCCAGATCAACGTGGTGGAGCGGGTGGTTCGAAGTGTCGACCTAGATGGTCTGGAGGGGGTTTTTGAAGTAGTCCTTGGCCGGTGAGTGTTGAACCGCCATCATTGATTTGTACTGCACGGTTTACTGATTCTTTAGGTGTTGAACCAACATCATCGATTCATACCGCATGGTGTGCTGGTTCTCTTGCTTGTCCTATGGGCATCTCCACCTCTGCCATATTAAACACCACACTCCTTTCTACCACGACTCGCCATGACTCTGGCAAGTAGACCCAGTGGCTGTTGCTATCATGGTCGAACCCCATATATTTTCCATCAATCGTTCACATATCGAGCTTCGAGCCATTCGTCGAGTGGACCTTGACGTTGCAGCCCCAAACCAGTAAGTTTTCAAGGTTGGGTTTCTTTTTGAATAACAACTCATAGGGCATCTTATTGTCTAGTGCGTGAGTCAGCGTCCGGTTCTTCAACCAGGTGACGTGCATGATGGCTTCCCCCCACAGGAACTTCAGCAACCCACTGGCATGCAGCAGCGCACGCGTTCTTTCAATAACAGTGTGATTGAGTCACTCAGCGACTCCGTTGTGTTCTGGCATGTCGTGAACAGTGAGCTTTCATTCTGTTCCTTTTCTGTGCAAATGACGAGTAAACACCTCTCCAGTGTACTCCCCACCACAATCTGAGCAAAGGTGTTTGATCTTGGTGTCGAACTGCGTGTTCGCCCAAGCTTCGTACTTCTGGTATGCGCTGAATGTTTCATCCTTCGTTCATAGTAGGTACAGGTGAGTGAATCTGGTATGGTCATCTGTGATTGACGCAAAATACTCCTTTTGTCTAGGTATTCTTACTGGGGATCGCCGAATCGTTCACGGCGTGGAGGGTCACAGACTTTGCCAATTGGTTTCCGAGTCGCTTTTGTGTACTCGCAGGACTTGCAGCTGTCCATTGTCTTTTCGGCTGCATCAAGGTTTATTCCAGTGACTACGCCATCGTGTATCATCTGTGTGATAGTACTTAGCGCCATGTGACCTAGGCACGCGTGAATTTCCCACATGGTAAGGGTCTCCTTTGGACTTGTTGCACCAGCAAACAGTCCTTTGGGGCTTCTAATGCAATACAGCCCTTTATTGACTGATATTTCCCCCATCAGCTTCTTATTATCGTTGAAGATCTTGCAGGAACTTTTGTGGAACAACGCAGCGTATCCTGCGGATGTGAGGCTACTAATCAACACCAAGGTCAGGCCCATTTGAGGTGAGTACAGAACATCCTTCAGCAGTATGTGTCTTTGACTGCCCATTTGGTAGGAAAATTACTATGTTTCCCTTTCCAGTCGCCTCAAATGTATGTATGTCTATCGGCTGTCATTATTGGTTTTGGCGCAATACTAACAAAGTCTTGGAACAGGTGCCAGTACAATGACATGTGGCGCGAAGCACCCGAGTCGAACAATTTGGTTTGAGCAGTTTGTTTTTGGCTCGAGTCTGTGAGCGTGGTGAAGGTAAATGATGTTTTCTCTTCTGATTGACTTGATTCATGCGCTAACCAGACACCTTCAGGTTCGTCATCATCCTTCCCTTTGTCCTTGGTGCTAGCCGCCATTTTGGGTTTCCTGTCTTTTGCTTTTGCATCAGACTTGCTCTTGCCTCCTGCTCCTGAACCTCTGGCACTTCGACAATCCCTCGCCATGTGTCTGTACTTGCCACAACTGTGACAGTTTCCCATTATCCTCCTATTATGCTGACCCGAATTAGTGTTATAGGCCGCATCTTCGCTCAAAGAGCCATTCTTCTTCATCTTCGCGGCTCTCCTGTCATACTCGTCGACGATTGTTGCTATCAGCATGTCTGATGTGAGTACAACACTTGATACTTTCGCAGATGCTGTGAGTGCTGACAGGTGGGGGTCATAGGATGATGGTAACGAGCTCATTATTATTGCTGTGAAGCTGTCGTCCATTGGTGCATGTCCCAATGAGGACAGCTGTTCCTTTATTGTTTGCAATTTGTCGAAATGCTCATGGACGTTCCCTTTCTCAGGACATTTCAAGTCTTGAAGCTTTCACAGGAGCTCGATGGACACGACTCGAGAACATTTCTTGAAGAGATTGGACAGGTGCGCAAAGATTTATTTTGCAGTGTCTAAGCTTCTCACCTGTATGAACAGGGAATCTGGGATGGTACTAGCAATTTGTTACTTTGTGATGGCCTTGCCAACGCGCCACTCCTTCGATGCAGCTTTGTACGCTGTGAGTTCTCGGACCTCATCAGCGCCGGATGGTACCCAAGATGGTCCTCTTCCTGTCAGCATTGCGGGGTCTGCTGGTTTCTTTTCGGTACCATCCAGGTGACCGAGAAACCCTCTAGCATCTACTGACCATTGCAACCTGTCTTTGTAGGTCATCCAATTTTCTCCATCTGCGGCTAGTTTGGGGATGCACAGAAAATCTTCTCCAAGTTTTGTGTTGGAGCTGGACATGGCGGGCTAGTCGTTTCGTGTACTTTGTAGTTAGTTTGAATTAATGGGCGCAGGGCTCATAACCTGCAGTGAGTACAAGAGCTCAGTAGACTGATGTAAGTCACTAATATTGGATATATACCTGCAGCGAGTACACGAGCTACAGGATCGGTTAGATATGTATGTACTAGCTAAATAGAATGTACTGACCTCAGTAGACTGATGTAAGTCACTGAGGAAGTACCATTGAGCGCGAATGAAAATAGTAGGTAGCTTATATAATGTACATACGAAAGAGGCATAGCAAGGTTAGAATATGCGACAGGTATAGCACAACTGTGCTCATTGGCCATGAAGCACAAAGAAAACCTGACCTTACACTAATCGACCAAGGCATGGCTGCTGACTGGAGATGTGTGCAGAGTGTTGGTGAAATGAAATCCAAAAGGTATGCTTCTGTTGGCTTTACAGAAATTTTGAATCAGATCAGTGGTATGAAGTCATCTATGGTTATCGTGAAAGTGTTGGGCTTACACTGGGTTCACAGTCAAGTCTTCCATGATCTTTGCTTCTCAGGACAATCAAAACTTCATTCTTGCTCTTAGATTCGCTAAGTATGATATGGTTGTCTACAGGTTTGAGCTGCATCAATCATGTATCATTTTGATATTGACAAGTCCTTCATGTAGATTTGATTGTGATGGCTTGATGCATGTCACTTTATTCTCAATCAATGGTCCAACTGGTTGGAAATACTTCACTCATGTAGCATATTCTCTGACATACAGGACCCTTGATCTGGTGGGATATGATACCAGTTGTCATACAGCACCCCACTTTCCACCACGGTACATGGCCCTGCAGGTGCAACCTGCAAGTGGGTGTTCCTAGCAATCTCTGTTTCCCAGAGAATACAAGATAGAAATACTACTTCATGTAGCAGATAACATGTTTGGCCGTGGATCTATAGTTCACTGGATTCAACATATTCCCACACATATTGCATATACACTTGGCATAATGTGAGTCAAAAGCTCACAGAAGGGCAGATCTTGTGCATTATCAGTGGTATCAATAATGTTCCTACAATCCATGAAGAATATGTGGTGGGTAAGGACTACTACTCTGCCACAGCCACAGCACATCTAGGTCCTCTTATGACAGCTCAAGTCGCCACTGCCTTTCAGAATGGTTAGTTTTAGGATCAGATGCACCTCAGACTATTGATAAAAGATGCCTCCATCAAGCTGATCACACAATTTAAGACCAGGGTGGGATTGGCTCAGGCATTATTGGATTGTATCAAAGGCATGTGAAAATCTTCCTTATTGTCTTTACTGATTCATTTTCTGAAGTGCACCAAGATGTGTATCAACAGTTTGGTGTGTTGCACTGTGATATACATATCAGCAACTTATATATCAAGACTGATGGCTCAGATGATACTCTTGGATGGGAGATAGGTGGTGTGCTTGGAGATTGGAGCTTTTCCAAGTATAAGGATATCAAAAAAGTTTCAGAGCATCTTGGAAATAGGAGAGGGTTTCCTGTATCAGCACCAAGTAGTGAAGACACTGCCCCCCACTCCTCCCCCTCCTCCCCTCCCTTTCCCCTCCCTTTCCCCTTCACTAACACCAGCACCCAGTCGTCCTCCACTATCTCTTCCTCCCTTGTGTGATGGCATGCATTGTATGCAAGTAGCAGGCAGGGATGTTTCTGACTACCGAGAAGTGACAACAGATGTTGATTCAGACTGGGACACCAAGAGAGTTAGTAAATCTACCTCTGCAAGGCACAAAACCCTTAGTACATATTCAATCCATGGCCTCGCGATGTGAATGTTGAATCAGTGAAGAGAACAGTTAGTAGATTTGACTGAAGTCACATTGAATGCTAATTCATACACTTTTGCAGGGCAACACTGCTTTTGTCTCAGTCCGCCTGATGTTGGGCTTGGGCCAGCTGGGTATTGAACATGGGACTTGTGATGATCTCAAATCATTTTTCTTTGTCCTACTTATCATCATGGTTGTCTTCCATGCTCCTGGTGTCCAGAGATTGGATGCAGAATTTGTGCCCCTTGAATTGGACAAGATGTGGTGGAACCTGGATCAGTGGAAATCTTCTGTGAAGTGGAAGATTTTGTCGATGAAGCTCCATAAGCTATGGCAAGACAATATTGCCTGCCTCTTCAGTGATTATTTCCAATGCTGGACTAGCTCGGTAGATAAACTAAGAGAGCTTATTTTCAGTCATTATGACCCAAACCAGCATCTCCTCTAACAAATGTGCATGACTGATGGTGTCACCTATGAAGACATGATCACTGTTCTCTAGGAGGTGATTCAATCTGGAGCTGAGGCCAACACAAAGGATGCAGAGGGCGATGGGTAAAGCTTAGATGTTGCATTACAGCACAATTTTTTCTCCTTAGCACCCACTGACGGTGCCTCAACAACCTAAGTACCTCTCCAAATGACATTCTCCTTGATATCTCCTGATGACACGTGGTATATGCCCTCAGAGAAATTCAAGGTTGCCTCTGTCTTAACTGCCATGGCAGCAACCAGTGAGGTTCCCAAGGGCAATGTGCAACCACCAACTTATCATGACCTTCCCCATCAAGACATCATCTCCCAAAAATCTCATGTATCTGCCGCCCTCACATCCACTACTACTGATGACCTACCAACTAATGTATCTACCCTTACGCAGGGCATTATTAACAATAATGACAATAATAGCACCTTCTCCATTGATGTTGCTGCCCATCTACTGTCGCCTCTGGCCTGTCTCATGTTGTTAGCAACTCTAAGCGCAAAGCTTTGTGAACTCAAGATGATACAAAGTTCACAAAGAAGTCTTGTACTGGTAAGCAAGGCCAGAAAATGTCACTCATTGTGGAACTAAGCAAAAGAAGCAAATCCTGTTCTCATGGGGGCAACTCAAGCAAGGTGTGTTCTCGCCCAGAAGATGATGATGACTATGTACCACTGGGGAAGCACGGCAAGGGCAAGAGCTGCACTTAATAAACAAACAACTTTTTTGCATATAACATTTTGTTCATAAGAACATGCCTTAAATATCTGCTCATAGACAGTATCTCAGACATTGATCTTCATTATCCTTACTTAAGCTGTCACCAGAGTCAAAATGTTTCTCTTGGACTTTGCAGGTTAAATCTATACAACACCAAATCTACTGCAACTGTGCCCACTGTCTCAGCTTTATATATTATTGTTTATTTCTATATCAGACCATATGACAATGCAATCAATACTTTACAACATGTTTGGTTCCTGATAGAGGTCTATTTTCACATCATTCTAAGCACTTTTATAGCGCAGTGTGATGTGTATTTCATTTGACACACCTGGCACTTCAGCACATGCTTACTAGCACAAGCACTTTTGTTGTGCATCAGTGTGTGCACCTTAGCTCGATCACTTGTCCTCTTTCTGTCCATTTCATGCATGTTTTGGTTTGTCAGTGCATATTGCCATTATATCCCTGTGTATTCTGACAACATCTCTGGCACTATGTGCAAACATATTGCATCTTTATGTCATGGACACTTACTTACATATTCGCTTCGCTTCTGACTTGCTTTCATGCTCTGAGATTGCACTTGGAATTACTTACATAGCACCATGTATTATCTACCTTTTAACAAGTTTCCACCACCATCCTGCAGATCGTCCAAACTCTAAGTCTAAATTCTACCATGCTATAACTACTTCTCAACAAATTCTAAGTGTGTTCTCAGCATGTGGAAGCAAGTTGGAAGCGCAGCTAATAGGCAAAAATATGTAAGTTGCTTCTGAATGGGTTTATTGGAAGCACATCTAACTGGTCTTAGCCAAGCAGTTGATACAACAGAATCTAAATTTGTCTGTATGAGTTCAAAACCTGCTAAAGATGAATTTGCCAAGTGATCATTAGAGTCAAAATCCATTTCTCTTGGACTGTGCAGGTTTGAAACCTGCCAGTGATAAAATTTATTTTTTTATGAAAACACACCTTAAAATTTGCTCATGGTCGGTTTGCTTGCTAGCTCATCACAGTTGTGTTTAGCCAAGTGGTTGTCATAACAGAATCAAAATCTGTTTCCATCAGAGTGCAATAAGTTTGAAACTTGTTGAATGTTGTTTTTTTCTCTAAGAATGTGTCTTGAATATTTGCTCATAGACAGCATCTCAGACATTGATCTTCATTGATTCAATAACAACATTTTTATTCTATGAAATCCAAAATAGTGGAATGTGATGAATCATGAGGTAATGCAAAAGACACATCATTATACAGATTACAAACCTATTTAGTTCAAGAGAAATACATTTTGACTCTGGCAATCACTTGAATAAGCACAGTAAAGAATCTCAGCCTAATATATTTGTATTTTTCCTAATTCCTCAGGTTATTAGGATCAAACTTGAAAGTTCAATGTGTAATCTGCTCTTTTTCTTCTTAAGACCTTGAGAAAGAATTGTATTGTTACTGTACTCATCCTTCTGAGTTTGCATTAGGACTTTGGTTATATATTAACCTCTGTGTCAAAAATACACTGTGTGATCCTTTCATTGTCAGTTTTCACTTATGGATCCACTGGTAGTGGTCTTCCATCAGCACCTTTTCAGGGAAATTGTTACAGTGGCTCAAAAAAGTGTCTCAATATTTGTAACTTTTCATGTAATTGCTTTATCATGAGCTAGGGTGTGGGAATATGACTAAGCTATAGTGAGATGTCAGAATGCTATACTTCTCAGTCTCATTTATGTTCCCTATAGCATGGGAAGCTGGTATCATCATGTACAGATATGGCTATTTTAATTTGGTGACTCATTGAGACATTTTTTTTAACTTTCTGTTGTTGATCAATACAATCTCTATAATTATAATACTTTGTGTGACCATGCTATTGAAAGAGCTGACAAAATGCAGATAAATATACTTTTAGGACTTGCTTCTGAATGGATTTATTGGAAGTGATTCTAACTGGTCTTAGCCAAGCAGTTGATACAACAGAATCTAAATCTGTCTGTGTGGGTTCAAAACCTGCTGAAAATGAAATCTCAAGTAATCACCAGAGTCAAAATCTGTTTCTCTTAAATTGTGCAGGTTTGAAACCTGCCAATGATAACATTTTTATTTGTATTCTATAAAAGCACACCTTGACATATGCTTTTGGTCGGTCAGCTTGCAAGCTGTTCATAGTTGTATTTAGCCAAGTGGTCGTCATAACAGAATCCAAACCTGTTTCCATTAGACTGCAACAGGTTTGAAACCAGTAAAGATGTTTGTTTTCATTGGTCTGTAGTCAAGTTGTCAATAGAGTCAAAATCTATTTCTCTTGGACTGCGCAGGTTTGAAACCTGCTGATGATAATATTTTTATTCTATGAAATCATACCCTGACATTTCTTCATAGATTATTTTCTCAAAAATAGTCTTAGCTGTGTTATTGCCACAATAGATTCAAAATCTGATTATCCTAGACTGAGCAGGTTTAAAACCTATATAATTACATTTTTTTCATTGAAATATGCCTTGAATATTTGCTCATGAATGGTTGCCTCAAAAACTCATCATGACCAGTCTTGGCCAAGTGGTTGTTACAACAGAATTAAAGTCTGTTTATTTTGGACTGCGCATGCTTAAAATATGCTAAGTGATACATGTTTTTGACCTGCTTAGTCTAGGAGAATCAGATTTTGACTTTGATAAATTATGAACTAGAAACAAGGAAGATCAAAGTCTGAGAAACTGTCCATGAGAAAATATCCAATTGAGCATGTTGCAACATAAAACAGAAATGTATCATTCAATTGGGCTTGAGAAGGATGTCAGAAATTGATGTTAGAACTAAAAAAAAATGCAAATAAATGTACATTGAGGATTAACTTCTGAATGGATTCATTAGGAGTGCATCTGACTGGTCTTAGCCAAGCAGTTGATATAACAGAATCTAAATCTGTCTGTGTGGGTTTAAAACCTACTAAAGATGAAATTATCATGTGATCATTAGAGTCAAACTCTGTTTCTCTTGCACTGCACAGGTTTGAAATCTACCAGTAATAACATTTTTATTTTACAAAATCACATCTTGACATTTCATCATGAATGATATATGTTTGTTTTCTCTGTTAGAACACACCTTAACATTGACTCATGTGTATTTTCATGTTGTAGCTTGCACTCTCAAACATCCGCTTTATATGATGTTTGTGAATGCACTTTTCTGTGTCCAAGAACATCTCTGGGCTTCATGTGATGTGGCTCCACATCCTAAGCACAAATGCCTTAAATCATGCTTTGGGGTTGTATAGCTTTCATTCCGCTGCCACACAGTACAAATGTGTTCTCCATCTTTGATCTACAAGGCTTTATTGATGCACTCTGAGAAAACTTTATGCTGTCCAAAAGCACTCACTGCTTAAGAGAGTTAGGAAATTGATACCAGCGGTGTTATTGTAGTGCTGACCAAAACTAAATGTGCATCTGAATACAGACATATTTCTTCAAAGGTCTTGACTTGATTGAAGAAGAAGAGCAGATAACACATCAAACTTTCAAATTTGATCCTAATGACCTGGAGAATGATGAAGAATACATATCTGTCAAGGCTGAGATTCAAGATAAAGAATCAAAAGAGCCATCTGACCACTATTTGCTCATGTATAAAGTTGAGGTGCACTGTGTTTGAAACTCTTTCATTATTATGTTGCTCTTCTCTTGCTTTTTGAAAGTGCTATATTGCAGTTTATATTTAATTCATTTGTTCAGCTAAGGGAAGACATTGTGAGTGACAGGGAACAGTAGACTAGCCTTGCAGAATCACTTCTAGATGTTTTCTTGAAAGATGCTTCTGACTGTTCTTAGTCAAGCAGTTAATACAACAGAATCCAAATCTGTCTGCATGGGTTTAAAACCTGCTAAACATGAAATTGTCAAGTGATTCTAAAAGTCAAAATCTGTTTCTCTTAGACTGTGCAGGTTTGAAACCTGCCAATGATAAATTTCATTTTTTATGAAATCACACTTTTACATATACTCATAGTCAGTTTGCTTACAAGCTCATCAGAGTTGTGTTTAGCCAAGTGGTCATTCTGACAGAATGAAAATCTGTTTCTATTGGAGTGCAATAGGTTCGAAACCTGTTGAATGTTATATTTTTTCCATAAGAACATGTCTTGAATATCTGACAATTTTGTCAACCCCCTTGAGGGACACAAAATCTTTTATAATCAATCTAATAACCCACAACTTCCTGTTTCAATCCAGCTTGCAAATTTCCTCAATGACATCAGGCACTATGAAAATGCTGTAATAATGAAGGACTTGGCAGATTTGGTAGGAGTATCTATTGGAACAGTCTACAATTGCATTAAACAAGTT